GACACACGCCCTAGACTATTTGGGTCTAAGGCAAGCCGGTTTCCTCATGATGTTTTCCTTCACCGTTCGAGCGAATGTTAAATGCGCACATAGACAGAAAGTAACATTGGTTGAAATGTTAGAAATGTTTATAAGTCAAACAGTTTACTATAGCATATTGCATCTACAATGAGACGCAGATATGGTTTATTCCTAATATCAAATTCAATGACTATCGTACGTAATATGTAAAAAGATTTTACAACATTTATTCTGATATTTTAAAAGCATATAACAAAATTTTGTATCCATTAAATAAATAAATATTACTTATACTTAGCATGTTTAAACGGTTAACTTTTAATAGCTATCCAAAACTTTGAGGCAAAAACGAACAAACAAATCTTGTATGAAACTTCAGTACACGAGGGCGTTCCTTCCCTTTATTGTAACTTTGTTCTAAGTCAAGTTTATTTAGAATCAAAATTTTGTTCGTGGTTCGATTTCATCGGCCTACTTCCGTCTCTCTTAACTGTATAACGCATTGATCAAGTTGCATTACTGAGTGCACTGAAATTTTCTACTAATTAAGGAGGATACCAAATATGGTTGATCACAAAACTTGCTATTGCAAAGGGTAATTAAAATACATTGATTGCTTTGAGCGAAATACACGCGTAGAGTTTGCGTAGCTGGTCTACACAGACGTAAGTTAAGGTCTACAATCTTCCTAAAAATCAGCCGTACTCTTATTCCAGTTAAAGATTTAAAATTATAATCATATTATATAGAAAGTCCCATAAGGAAATGACTAAGGGAGCGTTCAAGTATTACGTCACGCAATTTTTGGAGATTATTGCCCCCCCCCCCCCCATGTAACGCGCCGTAACGTTTTGGTGTTAATAGTAAAACGTTTCGTGACCACCCAGTGACTTTTTATATCTAAAAGGTACTATTCTGTGGTGTAAAGTACTGGGAAGTCGAAAATGATATTAACAATAACGCGTAATTCAGTCCCCGCCCCGCATCGTAATGTTTTCCAGAAGGACCCCCCCTAAAATTCGTTACATAATTCTTGAACGCTCCCTGAGTAGTACGCAATAAGGCAGTGATAGATATTTTTTAGCGTAAAGTTTTTTAAATATTTTCTACTTAGCATACCGCTATAATGTCTTATCATTTAGGAAGTTCAGTGACGACACTTTGTAATGATACAAAACTCTATTAAATGCGTAAGGATATAATAAAACTGCTTGCCGATTAATACATTATATTATCAAATCTAAATAGGTTATAATAAACCATTATTTTATACAGTTATAAAAGAAGTATCGTAAACTTGAAACTATGTAATGCAATAAGTTATTTGATAGTAACAAAATAAGACCTAATTTTGTTTGTATGTTAATTTCACCGCATAGAGTGCAATAAAATTCTGGCGAAAAGTTATAAGTACAGCCTTGGAATGGGATTTCCGTCATTTGTTCGTATTACTTAAAGTAATATACAATTCATAAACATATATAGTGATATAACAAACTATTTTTAAATATTAATAAATTCACAAACATATAAGTTTTAAAAAGTCCGTGTTAAGACTATACAGTGATTACATCTTTAGGAATTCAAAAGTGTATAAATATGTGCCATTATGAATTACACTTTACCTGAGGAAGTTTCTTCACTGCCCATAGCCCATGCGCTCAAGGTGGATGCAACATAGCTGATGGGAATTTAAGGACATAATAACGTGAGGTAGACAAAAGTAGCGTATGTAAGCAAGATACCGCTGTATCAACAGAGTAACTTGCTAATAGAGAAAGGGAGAGGTGGAAGTTTCTCTTGAGCGAACTGAGTGACGAGTGAGTCAGGAATCTTTTATAAGATGGATCACTCAAGGCATATTGACGGAGTCCGTAGAAATTATGCTATTGGAATTTGAGAAACTTGGATAAATAAATAATATCTAAACTAAATTGAAGATACTAAAAAAAGTTTTTTGTAATCTGTGATGGTGTAATTTTATCAATGGCTGCAGTGGTTTAAAAGTGAGTAATTGTAATTTAATTTTGTTCAGATGTAATATCAGTAGTAATATAAATATATATTTACAACCTTATACATTATATCCAAAGCCCAAGGCTCAGTTTGTACCGTTTGGTGTAGATCATTTTCTTTCACAAGACAAGTAAATGTGTGTTTTGATTCGTACGCTTCTTTCGCCGTACGAAAAAGTGTTATTCGTGCATCATTGTGCATAGTGTAAGTTACATAACTAGGAAAAATAAATAATACAAGTGAAGTTACTATCATTATTTAATTTAAGAATTCGAATTTTAATAAATTAGATTATTCTAATATGTTTATCGGCGATCTTTAATCCTCTGTTGTTTTTCCTCCAATATCATCAAACATCGAACCATATTTTTTTGTAACAAAATTTCACACATAAATGTCTAATCAAGATAATATATAAATTATTGCCGGAAAAAGTGAATATAATTTAATATTATCAAAATTTATGAACCTGACGATGATAAGGTCATAGAGAAACATTATGGGCATTTATTAGATTCCTAGTTAATCGTTAAAACGTTTCGGATTATAATTAAAAAGTAAAAATAACGATGACTTAACAAGCAAAAAAACGTCGTTTGTAAACGTCTTTAAAGACTAATTAATATTCAAGTGTACAAACTAAAAACTCTATACTGTAGAATTAAAATGCATGTATCTTTATTACTTACCTCATAAGAAAAAACATTACCTAAGACAATTATTTAATAAAAGACCAGCGGTGTATGAAAGTACCCACTTCACTACAATAGGTAGCGAATTGCTCATTTTTAATAGAACAGCGGACAAACTGGCAGGGCTCACCTGATGTTAAGTGATACCACCGCCCATTGACACTCAATGCCAGAGGGCTCACGAGTGCGTTGCCGGCCTTTTAAGAATTGGTACGCTCTTTTTTTCAAGGACCCTAAGTCGAATTGGTTCGGAAATACTACATTGGGCAGCTGGTTCCACATAGAGCGGCAATAGATTATAATTAATAATAATATTAAATTAAACATTGATAAAAGCATTTGAAACATCGAGTAATTAGTGTAAAATTCTCGTTTATATCCGCTGTTGTATTTAGTAAGATAAGTAATTATTTGTCTCGTACAAATGCTTGACCACCTGAGCTACAACAGATAACCATAGTTCGCTGATAAACTTTTATTAGGACTATAAAATAGTGTGGAGAACAGATAAGCATATCGTTCGCCTGCAAGCAACAACCATATCTAAAACCATTAATTAACTGCTATAAATATGTTGCGCAATCAAATTTCCTTAATCCACCGGTTGAATCTAAAAACCGTAAACCTATTCCAATTTAAAAAAACAGGTGATAGTTTGTATTGGCAGTAAATGTAACATTAGAAGCATTTCATATTCATTTAATAAATGATTTTGAATTTTTGAATATTTTTTTGAATTGTCGAAGATACCTGTGACACTACAGAACTTGGGCTGGCCCTCAGATTTCTGTAACTGTTTTTCGATAAATTATATACAGGCGAGTAGTCGATCAGCCTTCTGGGCCTGACCCACGAGGTCGTCGTTTTGGGTATAAAACTGGTTTCCTTATATTTCTTTTCCTTGAGTCACACTGCTAAACTTTTAATTTAAAGTTAATTATATGTTATTGTCGCGTTGAGATTATATATTCAGAATGATGTAATTTATTTTGAACTTCAAATTAAAAAAATCCAATCAAGAGGTTACATACATTGATTTATGGCATCAACGTCTAAAAATAATAAATCTATACTAATAATATAAAGTTGTAAAGTTTTAGGGGGTAAACTATAATCTGTATCTACTGACTAATTTTGAAAACTCTTTTACCGATAAAAAGTCACGTTATTTGTGAGTATCTTAGGTTATATATATATATGATGATGAATGAAACTCAAACGTGTTGCAAAAATTTTTATTTTAAGAAACAACATTAGAGTTTGTTATTTTACTTGAAAACAATCACGTTTATCCTATTTTTTTAAAATCCTATAAATGACGGGCCAAAACTAGCGTCTTTTCCACAGACAAACAAATGAAATGATACATCTGTTAACACAAAATAGAGAATCAATAATCTAAAGAATCTAATCTAAGACATATAATTATTTCTTAACATATATTTATTATTTATTAACATATATTAACCCGAAAGACTTTTTCGATATTTTCGGGAGATTTGCAAAGTAAGTCGGAGAAAAAGCGGTGGAATAAAAACGTTTCTTACGAACGCTGTCTTAACGATGAGAGATGATTGAATTCTAGAGAAAAGTTGATAATGCTTACAAAAAAGTCAGCATAGTTCTTACTTTTATATTATATATAAAAACAAGTATATTTTGCCGCCTATCTGTCTATCTGTTCACGATTTGCTGCACGGAATTTATTGCAGTTCACCAATACCTAGAAGATTTATCAGAAGATTTAGGTATATAATTTATCAAGGTATATGGGCCACGGTGGCCTACGCGAAGCCTGGTCGATATACTTGCTCCCTGTAAATAAAGTACCTAATCATGACGTTTTTACTTGTTCCATTGTCAATGCCAATACAAATAAGACTTCTATTACTCAAAAACAGAATTAGTATAATGACCTTGTCAACTGTCTTATCATTTGTCATTAAATCTTAAATCTACGCCAGTCATAAAAATAGTAAATTGTTTATTTTATTTAATAACGGGAAATATAAGATGTATACAAAACCTCACAGATTTTGCTTGATAGGACAGTTCCAAGACCAAGTTCACGTAGGCACTTCATGAGTTTAATTAATTTATATATTGTTTAATTTAATATAGAGTGTTTTTAGTACATCCCTAAAAATATTGTTAATGACCTGAGTCGTACGATGTTTTTATACATTAAGCCATTGAAGTCAATAAATGGATTAAGATAGTAGTGTCATATATAAAGAAAGCTCTTTCATATCAACGTAATCACATATCAAAATGTGGTTTAAATCAATACTTGTACTGTGCATAGTATTACCCAGTTATGGGAACCAAGATACATGTCAAACTGTAAGTAAATATGTATTAAATAGTAAAACAAATTATTTAGATTATTCAACAAATACTACAAAGGTATGCCTTCGATGTTTTCCTTCAGTGTATACAGAAGTCCATAGCACAGCCGGAATTCAAACTACGACCTCAGGAATGAGACTAGGCCGTCACCGCTAAATCAATACATCGAGAGCTTAATTTAAAACTATACGTACAATAATAAACATCATTAGTTTGATTATTTGAATTATGCTAAAGCATTTCTTTTAAAGTTATAAATTATATGAATTGCACTTGAGAATAACTTAATCAAGTTCCATTTTTAAAATGCATACCTTAATACAGTAATTTAGTTTAAATATTTTACAGCATGACAAAATCGTAAAAGCTGGATATACAGCTGAAAGATATGACGTGGTGACAGAAGATGGCTACATTCTGGAGGTGAACAGAATTCCTCGCGGCAAAGGCTCGTCCTGGTCGTCGAAACGACCCGTGGTTTTCATGATGCACGGTCTCACTGGTTGCTCTAACTCCTACGTGGAATTGGGATCACAGTACGCTATGGGTATCTATTGTACAAATACCTATACATGTTGAAAGAGTTAATATCCCTTCTTTTTTTGAACCTTAGGCTGCATAGGGCACTAAGGGTTGTTAAAATTTAAAAATGAAATGATAAATATACCTGTAGAATTATTAATTCAGTGTCTACCTTATGGCAGAGGGGTGATTCAGTTTCTTGACTCCTGACTTTAAATAGCTGAATCTTTTCCTCAGGTTTCAACTTAGCTGATTCCGGATTTGACGTATGGTTGGGAAACGCTAGAGGAGTGGGTAACTCGCGTCGACACAAATCTCTAAATCCTGACAATAATCGCCAGAAGTCTAAATTCTTCGATTTTTCTTGGGAAGAAATTGCTCTGTACGACCTACCAGCTATGATAGAGTTTGCCCTTAAGACAGCTGGTCAAGACAAACTTCACTACGTTGGTCATTCTCAGGGTGGAACTGTGTTCTTAGTACTGAATTCTATGAAACCGGAATACAACAAAAAGTTCATCTCAGCCCATCTTTTGGCGGGTGTTGGATACCAAAAGAACTTCCCAAACAGCCTGTTGAAGACTGCAGCGAGGTTCACGACTACCATTCATGTAAGTGCACAATGCTTATTAATTAGTCTCCAGCCTACCCACAGTTCAATTTTAAATTTAGAAAAATGTTAACTATTTATAAACGAGCTATCGAAAAAAAATCAGTAGCGCTTCAACCTCTTTAAGTCTGGGCCTCAGATTTCTGAATCTGTTTCATGATCAATTTTCAATCTATTAAGCAAGTAGGTGACCTCACGATGTTTTCCTTCGACGTTCGAACGAATGTTAAAAGCGCACATAGATAGAAAAAAGAAAAAAAAACAAAAGCAAAGAAAAACAAAAACAAAAAAAAATCTAGATAGAATGTCTACTTGGTACACACTACACAGCCGGGGATCGAACCTACGACCTCAGGGATGAGAGTCGCACGCTGAAGCTGAAGGCCAACACTGGAGATAGCGAAAATCCGTTAATAATAAATAAAACCTATCATCCGCTAAACTAAGTAATACAGTTTAATAATAAATTACTAATTTTAGTATTCTTGCATATATTTCAGAATCTAGCTAAAACTAGTGGGATATATGAAATAATGGGCCCTGACTGGAACTCTAAAAATGCAATTGCTAAAAGTGGCTGTGCTAATGGTGCATGCTCCAGATCATCAGAAGTAGAGGATATTATTGTAAGTTATTTCATAATATAAAAAACCCGGCGCTACAACCTTGTTAGGTCTGCGCCTCAGTTCAGCTGTTTCATGAACATTTCTAATAGGCAAGTAGGTTTGCTTGACACACGCCATCGACTTTTTGTGTGTAAGGCAAGTCAGAAAGGCAAGCAGGTTTCCTTACGCTGTTTTCCTTCACCGTTCGAGCGAATGTTAAATGCGCACATAGACAGAAAGTCTATTGGTCGGAGGAAGCAGCCGGGGATCGGACCTGCGACCTCAGTAATGAGAACTGCACGCTGAAGCCAAGACTGCTGCACTGATATAAATATTTATTTATAAGTCCTAAAACAACAGATGTGTTTCAAAATACGAGAAACATATTAAATCGCACATTTTACATAGATCAATAATATTAGAAAACACAAAGGAAAAAATTGGTGTAATATAAAATACACATTCCGTAAGCAGAAGTTAAAAAGTATTAGGCTTACTATGTCCTTTCTACTATATCTCTATAGTTATTCCTCTTATCTGTAGATATGGAATTTTAATATGATAAATTACTTAATTGGACAAAGTACTTTGTAGAAAAAGAATAACTAAGTTTAAAATGTATATACATAGATAGAAAATTAAAACCTCACGAGAAATATTCTAATTCCAGGAAGAGATAGTAAACGGCGCTGACCTGGTGGCTGGTTCATCTGTGAAGCAGTTCGCTCACTTCGGTCAAAACATAAACGACAGAGTTTTCAGGAGATTTTACTATACTCCCTCTATCAACCTTTTAAAGTATGGGTCCTTAAGCCCGCCCGAATACAACCTCAAGAAAGTGAACGTCGACATCACCATGCATTACGCTCTTGGAGATGATATACTTGATGAGAGAGATGTTTTATCCATGGTTGCGGATTTGCCAAGAGCCAAAGCACGGAAGGTTGCGAAGGATACCTTCAGCCATGTGGACTTTGTCGCTTCTTCCTTAGTAAAACAATTGGTGACTGATTACATTATAGATGATTTGAAGAGGCGCTAAATAATAAAATGGATATCAAATTTCTATCAAAGAATGTGTGTATGGTAGGCAAGAGATACTTTTGTCTTATTGCGTGTGGTGTCTACCCAAGGCGCTAATAAATAATAGATAGTAAAAAAGTTCCACCGAAAGATAAGGCCTAAATGTAAATACAATTTGTCAGAAAGAGACGAATATTTTTTGTCAAGATCTTTCACTGTTACCACGATTAAAGATTTCTCTTTGTAATACATATTATTTTATATTATTAAAAAAATAGAATAACCAGCAATATTATGAAAATAAAATATTATCATGTTTTGGTTGTTTTCTCATGCAGAATTCTTGCCTTTCTATAAACGAAGATTTACATTTACCTTTTATTTACCTTTTGTAACTTTTGGAGTACTTTACTTTACTGTACTTTAGTAATTTTTTTTTAGATTGGTAACTATGTACATTGTACACTTATTAACGTTAATATTAAAAAAGGATTTAAATTTATGATTACTAAAGATTCCAAAATCTAGAATATAGAGCAGGCAAGAAGATCTGGCAATAAATCCTCCGCAACTCTTTTTAATCGCCAAATTTTTGGTTTAAAAGCAAATGGTGAACTGCTACCCTTACGCTATGACAAATTGACATAGACATAACTTTTATTACTAACAAAACCCCAAAAATAAAAAAATAAAAAAATAAAATAAAATAAAAACTTTTTACCGGATTAAAGTTATGTATTATTATTAATTTACAATTATTTAACATAATTTTAAATTTATCCGACGTTTCGCGTGCTTTACATTTTGTGGAAACATTGAAAGATTTCAAATTACTCCACAATGAAACCATGGTGAGTTTTGACATTGAGTCACTATTTACAAATTTACCACTAAATGACTGCCTAGATATCATTGCAAAAAGACTTAGGGAACAGAACATGTCACCACATTATGTAGATATTGTAAAACACTGTCTCACATCAGGATACGTAATGTGGAAAGATGAGTTCTATGTGCAGGTTCTCCAGTGTCACCTATAGTCGCTGACATCTTCATGGAGGACTTTGAGGAGAGAGCTCTGGCCAATGCCCCGGTTAAACCTCGACTGTACAAGAGATATGTCGATGACACATTTGTAGTACTCCCCAATGACAAAATATCTGCATTTCTAGCACATTTAAATTCAATACACAATAACATTAAATTTACTGTTGAACAAGAAAACAACAACTGTCTGCCCTTTTTAGACATTTTAATTATACGCCAAGCAGATGGCATACTAGGTCACACAATACACAGGAAGGCAACCCACACAGATAGGTACCTCAATGGTGAATCCCACCACCACCCACCACCACCCTTCACAACTGCTTTCTGTCGGTAAATGTTTGTTTCAGAGAGCCCAACGTCTTTGTGATGATGCCCACCTCGAGGAGGAACTACAGCATGTCAAACAGGTGCTACACCGAAACAAGCTGCGCATCCCTCGGCTGCATCACAAAAACAAAAACAAGACACAAACAGTTCCCCGCCAGCCAACCTACTTGCCATATGTAAAGGGAGTTACAGATAGAATTAGCCGGATCCTAAAACGAGCTTCTATTCATACAATTTTCAAGCCGCACAAGAAGATTCAGCAATTCCTAAGACCAATCAAAAGTAACACCCCATTGCAAGATGCAGGTATATACAAACTGGATTGCGACTGTGGCCTGTCTTACATAGGGCAAACTAAACGCAATATGTCCAGCAGACTCAAAGAACACATTGCAGACATAAGACATAGACGACACACAAAATCAGCAGTCTGTGAACACATACTAGATAGGCCTTATCACTACATACGCTTTGACCAACCGAAAGTACTTGCGAAAGAGAAAAGATTCTTCCCAAGATTGGTACGCGAAGCCATTGAAATCAAAAAACACCCCAATTTCAATAGAGAAGACGGCCTAAAATTTTCAAACACCTGGGATCCAATAATATCCAAATTACAATCTCAAAAAGAAAAACAATCCGCGAAAATAGAGGACACTGTGAGCCATTTTTGCCAAAACCTTTTAGTCGCCATCTTTTAGTCGATACCAACTCCGGGGAAATAAATACAGATAATGCAACTTTCTCTACAGCTGCGATACTTTTTGACATTCAACACCTTTTGTCTTCAGTCACCGTGACCACGCACGCTGTAAAGCACGCGAAACGTCGGATAAATTTAAAATTATGTTAAATAATTGTAAATTTATAATAATACATAACTTTAATCCGGTAAAAAGTTTTTTCTTTAAATGTGTAAAGGTTATGTCAGTCAAAGACAATACTAAAATAATAAAAGATAAAAAAAAATATTTTAAAGAACAAGGTACGTTTTTAGATAAATGCGTGTGTTTGATTGAAATATTGAATATTAGTTCTACAAAAAACCTCTTACAAAAGTTATGCTATCAAAGAACAAAGGCCTAGTGGAGCTACCTATCGAAGTATTTCCGAACCAATTTGACGTAGGGATAAGACTGTTTTTAAAAGGCTGGCGGCGGTATTCCTGTGAGGATCCCTGTTCTAAAAAGTTCTTAGCAAGCAAAGCCGACAATAGGTAGTCAAGTAGTGAGTCCGCGAAATAAGGGTTTTTAAAAACTTAAAGTTAAAATGAGTACAACCGGTCCGATTTGAGGTCCGTTTAATACTAAATATTACAAGTATTCTATTATATTTATATCCTATTCTTAAAGGACTACGTGACCGTTGTGCTGACACATTGTTCTCACGCTCTACAAGGAAACGTTACTTAGTAAGAACTAAGAGTGGTTCGTAAATCATGTAAGTGTGGTTCGTAAATCATGTAACAGCATTTCGGCTATTGAAATATAAAGGATCTTTGTACTACTATGTTGCAATGGTTTTTTGTTTATATAAAATATAATTATCCTATGGTGGTGACACACGGGATTATATAACTCCTCCCTCCTTAAGAGCGAAATTATCAGGGGATTGCACATGCAAATTCTGATTATTTCGCCACTGCAACATATTAATAATCTTATTTTTTATAAAAAACACAACAATTAGCAAAATACAATAAAAGAGTGCCTAAACTAATGCTTTTCACTTTCACTGAATTGCCCATTTCACTATCACTATCTCTGTTAAGTTGTTACAGCATGTAAGACATGTGTTGCCGGTCACTGAGCTCCATTCCTTGTAAGTTTACTGGATTCTGATTTTCCTTAGAGTTCACTGTTGACTGTAACTCCAGCAGCTTAATGGATGGGATACGTTCTGATGACATATTTTCTGTATATGAACGCTGATGATGTAATTGGATGTCATTGATGTTGAGATCGCAGGGTTAATCTCTTCTATAATTACTGTATTCTGGTCACAGTTGGATGGGTTTTCCTTGAAGGTCATCAGCTCCTCAATGCATGTCGTTTCAGGATACGGTGCCCCTGTTTTCTTGTGTGCAGAGTTAATTTTCCTCAGAGACTTGTTTGCAAGGCTGTATAAGCGGTAAGTATGTTACACCTTTCACCAGGATATAGGGATATTTAGGAATGATTATTAAGGTTAGGTTTTTAGGGTCATGAAAGATAGGTAAGGGATACATTTTATTACTATAAGTTGAATTGGTTATTAAAGCTACCTCTAATACAAAAGTTATTTTCCTGTCTATCATGTATGATTTAACATTAATCGTATCTTCTAATTTAACTAAATTATCCCAAGTGGGTGGATACATAAGATTTTCTGACTGTGATATATAAATTAAAATCTGTAATAAATGTGTAAAACATTGGTTTTGGTGAAAGCCAAAGCAATTTCTAATTCGCTTATTTTTTATATAAAGCGTTCTAAAATTACTTACAAAAAGATTATATAAACTTAAAACATATGTAGAGTATACTGCATTATTTTCTTTAGTACTTATGTCTTTTAACATTTTTTTTTCTACACGTTTTAGTCTTTCGTCCATAATTTTTGAGTTATTGTGTAATATTTCTGATGAATTAATGAGTCCATCTAACATTTTGAAAACAACTGTTAAACGCTTGTTTGTGGAAATTTTGTTGATTACCTAATTGATTTATTAACTGTTCATATCGTTGAGCATCTTCCTGATCTAAGTTTCCAGTTATCATTTTAATAATAGAGCCTAGAGGGTTCAATATTCCTCTTCGTACTCGGTGTGAAGGGATTATTTGCCTAATCTTTTCAGTAGTTATTCTTTGCAAATACTCTACTTGTTCCCTAATTCCTAAAAAATTCTTTAAACTAAGGCTTATCATCACTTACTATCTTACTAAAATTACTATATTTCCTATTGTTATATTCTAATTCCATTAGTAGGCCATTCAAATCTAATACCTTAAAAATAAGCCAGTTATCCTGTTTGATGAAGGATGTTCCCTGTCTTACGGATCCCTGAACTGTTTTCAACCTTTTGAAGTTGAAGGCCCAAGCTGGGGCTCGTGAGTGTCATCGTGATCACTAAGCACCACCTTTGGAGGTCGTTTTATTTTTTTAATTGGTACCTTTTTGTGTTTACCTCTAATTTTAATAGGGATGGTGTTTCTTTCAGGTTTTCCTGTAACTATGGCCTTTTCAAAACAAGGTTTGTACTTACTTCTACGAGTGTTTATTAATTTTGTGAAAATTGTTTTCCCTTCTGGTAACGGGACGTCGGATTCGCCACCGCGTTTTTCTCTAGAGTTTTCCTTAAACGTTAACATTTTATCAGATATGATTTTGTATAAAACTTTTATTCTTTTGGCGTGATCTTTAATTAATTTTTGCAAGTATCGTTTCTCGAAGTCTATATTGAATGCGTTTTCAGAATCTACATGGCCAAACACTACTTCAAACGGTGTTAAAGTTGTTACAGTATGAATCGCATTATTATATGCCATGATGAGTGATATAATAGATGCGGCGTCGGTACATTGTTGTTCGTATTTTGTCAGTCTGTAAATTTCAATTAAGGTGGAATGAAAACGTTTAACTATTCCCATTGAATTAGGGTTCCTAGGTGTGTCGATATGTATTTGGATTTTATAGAGTGACATCATTTCTTTCAATAGATCGTTGTTGAATTCAGTACCAGAGTCGCAGCTTATTTTCTTAGGTATGCCGTAAAATGAAAAGTATTTTATTAGTGCGCGGATAACGTCAGGTGTGCCTTTGATAGTAATTTCAATTGCCTGTCTTAGTTTGCTAAAAGCGTAAACTAAGGTGAGGTATGTTTTTCCTTCGATACTAAATATATCTATAAATAATTCCTGGAATGGGGCATGTTGCTTTTGAGTTAACTGTAAATATGGTTTCAAAGGCTTTCGGTCATATTTCATATGTTTACACGCTTCACAAGAATTAATTACTGCTGTTATAGTTTCTTTCATGTTATTCCAAAAGAAGTGTCGCCTGATGCGAGTAAAAGTTTCTTGAATACCTCTGTGACAGGTTTTTCCGAGATGAAATTTCAGAATAACGGCGTTCTGTTCATTTTCATCGTCAATAAAAACGATTCTTTCCGTACACTCATAAAATTGAATTGATACACCTTTAAAAAGCCTAATTACCATGTTGCTGAATTGTTTGCGATGTTCCGTATTTCCGAAATATATAAAATATTTCTTTTGGGTTTTATGTATTCTTTCAGGAATTGTTTGATTAAATAATTACACAATTACTCAATAATTATAGCTCACAGAATTTGATGTGAATCTAAACTTATACTTACTTTAGGGGTTGCAGAATTTCATGCACTAACCTACTTACTTCTATGTTTCTTTAATTTACTTATTACAATTTACCTTTATATGAATTTAACTCTAACAAAGTCTTAAAACTATCGTTAAGATGAGAGATGTCGATCTCAAAATAACAAAAGAAAAGTGGAGAGGGCTGGATTTGAAAGGTGAAAAGGTGACTTACCAGTACATCGCTGCCTCAACACTCGCACAAAACACCCTTAACGCTTTTGGATTTGCGTTCTTGACAAATTTATTTGTTCTTTTGAATAGCCGTTTTTAGCAATCGCGACGTAGTTTCCCCTTTTTAGGTAAGCAGAATTTGATGCTCGAACCGATAATTGAGAAGTACGTGCAGCTAGAGCGACTATCCTGTCCTCAGCGCCAGTCAAGTAGTGAGTCCGCGAAATAAGGGTTTTTTAAAAACTTAAAGTTAAAATGAGTACAACCGGTCCGATTTGAGGTCCGTTTAATACTAAATATTACAAGTATTCTATTATATTTATATCCTATTCTTAAAGGACTACGTGACCGTTGTGCTGACACATTGTTCTCACGCTCTACAAGGAAACGTTACTTAGTAAGAACTAAGAGTGGTTCGTAAATCATGTAAGTGTGGTTCGTAAATCATGTAACAGCATTTCGGCTATTGAAATATAAAGGATCTTTGTACTACTATGTTGCAATGGTTTTTTGTTTATATAAAATATAATTATCCTATGGTGGTGACACACGGGATTATATAACTAGGTATAGCTGTGTTTGATAATAAACAATTACATAACAAGATTAGTAAACTTATTATCTAAATGCGTATTCTAAAATTATCTAAATCTACTAAAAATTACAGATTATCACATATATAAGTTTATTCGCTTGGTAATATGTATAGACTGAATTTTGAAATTATAGACATTGGTTTTAATTGGAAAAATGTGGTTAATAACATTTCTTGCTATCCTAGTGCTAATTTCCGTTGAGGCGAATAATGTTTGTGATATTGTAAGTTTTATTTTTTAAAGCTTCATTATATGGTGGTATGTCAAATTATATGTTTTTGTAAAAAACTTAAATTTATTTTTTATTTCAAAATGTCTTACTTCCTACGGGCCGTTTTAACTTATTTTATAGTTTCGATCTTTCGAGCATCTTATGCAGTTATCATCTCCAACAACCCTTTCATCATGTATGATCATAACAACACAGGAAAAATCGGAATGTAAAAAGTGGCGTAAAAAGAGTGGCGGAGAGTTTATTGCCAGTTCTTCTCTTCCGTTCTACGCCCTTAATTTGAGAACTGGCAGTAAATGTAAAATTAGAAGCATTTAATGTATATTTCTTTTTTGACGTTCATAAGTGTACATTGTGTTACCTATATGAATAAATAATTTTTGACTTTGACTTTGAGTGTTGCAATTATTTCTTCAATTATACGGTTCACGGTATCTATTTAACGATTCAACTTTTTTTCCAGAACACTAAGGTCTTAAAAGCTGGGTATCCATTTGAAACATATGACTTGGTAACCGAGGATGGGTATATTTTGGAGGTTTACAGAATACCACATGGTAAAAATGAAACTCAGAGGCACAGACCAGTGGTATTTATGATGCATGGACTACTTTCTTCTGCTAGTTCGTTCGTTGAATTAGGACCTGACTATGCTATGGGTGAGAAATAAAATACAATTATTTTCACTTTCACATGATTACAGAAATCTTACTACAACAAGTAATTTATTTGATGTCATCATCATCACCATCAGTCTCTTTATTTGGTAAATTTCTGGACGTAGGCCTCTTCCAATTTCCTCCAGTATGCCCTGCACTGGCCTCTCTCTATCCACTGGGAGCCAACCTCCTTGACGGTGTCGTCAGTCTACCTACTCAGTGAGCGTCGTGAAGTCTCCATTGTCCTTGTCCATGCTCGCTGTGCCTGCCCACCGCCGCTTAGATGTTTCAACAGCCTTACTACGTCGCTTACACCGGTACTCTTCACGAATTCCCACATTTCGTACGCGATCGCAAAGGGAGACTTGATTGCATACAACATTAAAATCATGTATCACAAAAGCTGTATAACACGAGTACATAAGCTGTAAAGCGGGTATAGGTTTGTTCCAAGTTATTTAGTATTCTTGCTAGATTTTTCGTTAGTCTACGAGTATAGCAGTGTTTCCCAACCTTTTTTGTACCATGCCCTTATAACTTTTAATAAAACAAAAGTATCGTTAAATTAAAAAAACATAAATGATTGAAGAAATTACTAGGAAATTGTTAACGATACACAGCAAGTAAATCATATAAACTAAAATTCAAATTCCCGCTTGTGGGGCGTGGGCCCCACATTGGGAAACACTGGTCTATAGCATATTACAAATTCACTTATCTATGGTAAAGCTTTACGGGTTTGGCATTATTACGTTTCGTAACATTGACCTTCTATTCCCCGTGTAGTGCCAATAACTTTCATATCAATTTATTAGATTAGATAAAGAAGTATATGAAATTGTACATAGGCATAAAATATATATATTTTTTTATTTTCAGCATATAACTTAGCTGATGCCGGCTTTGACATATGGTTGGGGAATGCACGCGGCGTTTGCAACTCCAGACGTCACATCACCCTGGACCCAGATGACAACAACCAAAAGGCTGAATTCTTCAACTTTTCCTGGGAAGAAATCGCCCTATACGACCTGCCTCTTCTACTCGATTTCGCTTTGAAAACATCTGGACAGGAAAAGCTTCACTACATTGGTCATTCTCAGGGAGGAGCCACGTTTCTGGTCCTGAACTCTATGAGGCCTGAATATAATGAGAAAATAGAATCAGCTCATTTGATGGCTGGCGTCGGATACAAACGTAACTTTCCAAATCATATGTTAAGTCGTTTTGCTTCTTACACCAGTGTGTTGTATGTAAGTAAAGTTTAAAACATATTGTTCTTTCACGCTTCGGTCTTTTCTTTAAAACGAGTAGATGCGCTAAGGAGAACCGACAAATCTGAACATTTAGATTAATTAAATACGTTTTAGCTGTGTGCCAGCACTGTGGAACAGTCTGCTCCTCAGCATTATGCTGAGCCCTGGCTCTGGCCCTGGCCAATTACAACCACAACACACACACATTATACACATAGAAGAATAGAACATTGTATTTCTTTTCATGTCATTGTTTTTATATTTTTTGATTATTCTGTCTGTGTGTATGTTTTGTTAGTATTAAATGTTATGTCTATGTTCCCCTTGGTTACCTCAATAAAGTGATTATGGTAAAATACACTTGTAATATAATTTCAGGACTTAGTAAGAACATTAGGTCTTCATGAGATCAAACATGAATGGATTGCATCCGATAACGACAAACCAGCAGAAGTTGGAGTAAGTTTTACATATTTTAATTAGTTCTAAATCTAAAAGACTCATTAGAAGTTACAGCTTGTTATCTACATTACCTTCTTCATTATATCGGTAAACAACGCGTTACCTGATAAACCTGATATTTCGTTAAATGTTAAGTTTAATAATTAATTAACCTACCTTTATGCTGGCAGTTGTTTTCCCCACTGTTTTGTTAATTATGAACATTGAAACATCTCTGAATTGTGTATCAAAATATTTTTCGGTTTAGAAAGCAGAACATCTTAGATTATACTTAATTTTAAATTTGTTTAAGATAATATTTCCAAAAAAATATTTCTTATTGGCTAGGAAGCTGAAAAACGGTTTTACAATTTGTTCTAAATTTAAAATTACCTGTCGACAAATTCGACGATAATTCTAAATTTGAAATAAACACGTTTTAACCAAGCTCATTTAAGTGTCATATTTTCAGGAGTACAAAGTATCATTGCGCGACTTGGGAACTTCAGCATCGGTGAAACAACTGTCACATTTCGGGCAGAACGTAAGAGACAAAACTTTTAGAAGATGGGATTACTCCTTACTAGAGAACTTCTTTCACTACGGCTCGCTAACTCCACCTGAATACAATTTAAGGAGAGTCAACGTAGATATAACAATGCATTACACGATCGCTGATACGTTGTTAGACGAAAGGGATGTTTTAGCTATGGTAAATGACCTTCCGAATGCCAAAGCGCGTAAAATACCCAAAGACAACTTTTCGCATTATGACTTTGTTCAATCGTCACTTGTCAAACCGTTGGTCACAGATTATATTATAAGTGACTTGAAAAGTCGATAATGGTAATACATGATAATAGCAGTACTTTAAATACTATTGGGATCAGATTGCTTTTTTCTAAAATGCGAGCATCCGCTCCAGGAATGTTACCAAGTAACTTCAATAGCGATTTCGTACGATTTTAACTTAGCAATAATTGGTCATTGAGCTTTATTGAGCATTGAGTTAACTAATTGATTCAAATATGGATTTGCGGTTGATGTTGCAGAATAACCTTGCTGCTTCAAACTGTAAGTTTACTAAGATTTGTTACTGTCATTAAGGTACTTTAGCAACGTTATGCGGCAATTCTCGCTTATTCTTCATACTGCGTTGTATTACACTGGTATACAAAATAGCAAAATTCTATAATAAGCAAAAAAAATGTTTAATCAGTTATGATAAGTAGGATTAAAATGAATAATCTCAGTGTATGAAGTTGAACAATTGTATTAATTGTTAATTAAATTAGTTATTTTTCGAACGGGCTCTATACTTAGTTTTAAGATTGTGAATAAAATTAAAATAAAATCTAATCCTTTCATTATATAACTAATATTCTCCTTGCTTTTGAAAAAAAAACATGTATATGGGAATACCTATCTATGTAATATATACCTATCTATGTCTCGTAAGTCATGTCTACTTACTATAGTATTGACTAGGCCTATGTATTGTAAATTAACATATAAACATGCAAACCATAGACTTAATCTACTTGGCCATTGATCATATTCGTGTCAATTCGTTAATTCAATTTGACAGTTGTACGCTTGACAGAACCTGTGATTTATTTGAAACATGATTTATTCGAAAGTACCTTTTCTATATTTAAATGTGTGAATTGGGTGGCATTTTGAATTTCGAATTTAGAAGTCGGAAACTAATTGTTAAGCTGACCGATGTTAAATGTATTGAACATAATAAAAAAGTGCGGGCGTACAAAGTACGAGTACGTAGAAGTGAAACTTCTTTGGCAAACTAATTTTTAACTCTTGTTCATATTTATACAAATCTAAAATTTTAGATTTTACGAGACGTAGAGGGAGGGAAAAGGGAAGATATATTAGGAATTTAATTATAATTTAATTAAATTCCTATTATTGTCATTAGAATATTAAAAGTCTCGAAAATTAATACCTACAAACTATAAATTTAATTTTTTAAATTTTTTTCTTCGATAATAAAACACGTGGCATTTTAATTTACAATTCGTCAGTTGAGATTTCAAAAAATTATTTTGCATAAAATATAAAATACTAATATTTCATAAATTCTCTTAACGAAATTTTAATTTTAAAAATAGAATTTCTATAAGGTAATTGACCCTTCTCACTTTCTCTCAATTGCTCTCTCCCTTTCTTTGACAAAAACGCTGCACATCTTCGTGACGTTTCGTAAAAATTTTACCCTCATGCGCCTAAAGAAGTTTCACTTCATAACATTGTGACTACGTTCTGATACACAAAGACGACTTTAGTTCAACGTACGAGTGTTAAATACATAGACAGTAGAAAGCCCATTGGCGCGAAGTCTTCTTTGAAACTATGACCTTCAAGACGAGAGTCGCACGCAGAAGCCACTAGATGATTACCAAAATATACCAAAAACCTTTAAAAGTGTTAATATAAATTTAGAACTGATAAAAGAATAGTAAAAATTCAACTCTTTCCTGGGAACTAAAAAATCAATTCCTGCATTCAATGTGAGGCATTAAATCTCCGAAGGAAAGTAGCCTCTTTCAAATGGAAATTTCGCACGCTTATTCCGAATGTATGAGGATCTATCCGGTTACTCTCAATGCATAGTTGTCAATACGGGCTTATTAGGAAAATCTCTCACTGGCTTATGAGTGCCTGGTACATTTGAGACTGTTTTAATAAAAACCGAAAAGCTCTCTCTCTAGCTAGTAAATGAACTTTTGATAGGAATTCGAATAATAATAGAGACTGTCGCTTTTCCGGAATAAAAACCTAAGTACTAAATAAAACTATTTTATTTTTTAATTTTCTTTAAATATTTTTCGCTCCATAAAAACATTTCTCGAGTTCAATAAATAAATATAAAAAAAAACTCGAACTGGTCCAGCCGTCTTCTACTTTTGCTTACTTACTAGGATCATGTAATTTGTAAACTCAAAAAGAGTAAAAATAAACTTAAGTATGTATAACAAAAGGCGGAACGATGGCTTCTTTTGTTTTCTCTGATTGGACAGCGTCTCCAGTCAAATCACACACGTTCCTTCTAGATCTTTCTTTTCGTTTGACAAATCGCAAACAAACGAAACTCGCAATTGAATTCGTTTATGAAAATAATACAAAACTAAACGCCGCCATGTTCTCCTTTTAATTGCCGTCGTATTTTAATGAATGAGTCTGTTCGAAGCATTTATTTCCATCACAGGTTGACAGAGACAAACTTTTCTAGATATACAGATTAGATTTAAAAAAGAATTCATTAGTGGGCAACTTCATACTGATAATTTTGTGTCACAATGCGCGCATCGTAAAATTTCACTCTCATAAATTTTTCATAACGCGCCTAAAGAACTTCAAAAAGTAAATGAGTTATAGTTATTGCCACTTAACTAAAATACTTCTGGGGTATAAGCAATAACCACAATTTTAATAATAATTACATTATTAATGTTTTAACGACTACAAAATATATACAAAGGCATAAGGGCAGGGCCACCCACAATAAGTCGCAAAGCGTACTGCCGCACGCACAAGTTCCAGATTAACTACGTGCACGCACACATACGCGGAACGAGCGGGACCAGTTTTTGTGGTTGCGTTCGAGTATCAATAACTTTTTTATCAAATTAAATTGAAAATAACGACTGGAGCAGTGCTGGCCTAGTGGCTTTAGCGTCTCTCATCCCTGAGGGCGTAGGTTATATTTCCGGCTGTGCCCCAATAGACTTTCTATGTGCGCATTAACCATTCGTATTCAAACGATGAAAAAAAAAATCGTGAGTAAACCTGCTAAGACCCAAAACGTTGACGGCGCCTATTAGATTGACAAATGATCATGAAACAGATTCAGAAATCTGAGGCCCATAACTAAAAAAAGGTTGTAGCACCACTGATAGATAACACATAATAAATATGAGACTGTTTTATTTTTAGATAATAAATATTATTTAAAATTAATAAATAAAATATGTTACTATCTGTCTCTTTTCATCAGATTGCTATGAGGGGCATACATTAAAATCGATTATCGTTTAGTTTTTGAAGTGAAAACTTCTTTAGCGGCGTTGTAAACTTTTTGGAATGGGTAAAAGATGTTTAACTCGCGTCAGGACACGTGACGTAATGTAATATAAATTTTCATGTTTGTGTACGATAGCGCAATAAATAAATATTGTATTCTACCACATAAATGATACTACTTTTATACTGATAATTAAAGCTATTCGTGCAAAATTATATCCTAACCATTCCAAAATATCAAAAATGCACAACGTTAATATTATTCAAGTTTTCACTTCTGCCGGCACTCCCGGAGTGCAATCAGTCGTTTTTTATAAGTTAATTGTTTCGTTTAATTTGTTTATTATCTTATTGTGTATTATATTATTATCTTATGTTAGCCTATTCAGTGCTTGTCACATTAAACATAGTATTTTATTTTTCTTGTACCAATAAGTGTGCCGAGCGCTGGCGAGCTTTTATAAATAAATAGTTGATCTATTTATTTAACTGTGGCTGTAACCAACTCGATAAATTCAGTAAACGAATATTCGTATTTATAAAGTGGCAAATTCATTTATTTAACAAATTGTCCAAGCTATCGTCTGGTATTCTAGTCACGCTGTGTACCACAGTGGATGAACTTACAGATTGTAAAACGGGGTTATTGGTTACTAAAAGTGTCATGTCACGGAAAGAATGGTATGGTATGGAAACATTTTGGTTGATTTTTTTTATGAGCGGGCTCGTGAGGCTCTCCTGATGTGTTAAGTAATGGACACTCAGTGCCAGAAAGCTCGCGAGTGCGTTGCCTTTTAAGAATTGGTACACACTTTTCTTGAAGGACGCTAAGTCGAATTGGTTCGGAAATACATCAGTTATCAGCTGCCACATAGTGGTGGCGCGGCAAAAACTGTTTTAAATAACATTTTATTTCAAATTGTAGAATCATGAAATAACATTTTTGAAGTTATACTTCTTTAGGCGCGTTATGAAAAATTTATGAGAGTGAAATTTTACGATGCGCGCGCACCTGTGACACAAAATTAGGAGTGTGATTATAGCGTGCGCGAGCGAGATAGGAATAAGACAATCTACAAGTAAAAAGAAATAGAATATGCGTGAAGTTCGTATGCCAAGAATTTTGAATGACCATAATGACATTTGTCATTTACCTTTTAAACAAATAAAGGAGTTTTAATTATTTTTTCAAAGAAATTTAGCAATGCTTTTTGAATTATATATAATCAGAAGTGATTTAAATTGAATATTTAAACCAATACTAATTAATATTTGTGAAAAAACTGTGCTCATCAACCTTCCTAAGTGCTTCATTACAATTGAGGTTAACTATCAGTTTGTATTATTATTATCGAGTAATGTTTTGATTAAAAAAATTACCACATTGTTTAATCAAAACATGTAATTTTTCTCTAGCAAATATAAGGACAAGAGACAAAAAACAATTGATGAATCAGTGTAAGTGCACTAAATTGAATACAAAAAAAGAGTTGTCATCTTATCGCTGTGAAACATCAAAAACTGGAGGTGGAACAAAGCCAAACTATTTTTAATAATGCCAAAGAAGTATAACTTCTTACGCGCGTACATAAGTACACGCACCCTTTTTTTTAAATTGTAGAGTGGTAATAAACATGTAAAAGAAATAAAAAAAGTCTGTTTCAAGAACATTTTTCAAGCTAATAGGCAAGTGGGTGATCGACCTCCTGTGCCTGACACACGGCGTCGACTTCTTGGGTTTAAGACATGTCGGTTTCCTCATGATGTTTTCCTTCACCGTTCGAGCAAATGTTAAATGCGCAC